TGTTTTTATTTTTATTTTTCATAAATAAACGTTATGGTGTATTAATAAAAAGGAAAAAAAAACAGGTTTTTACTATAACGAAATTTCGTTTCCTCTTTCAATACAGTTTGTCTGCCGGCGGGAAATTCGTTACGCTTGAACTATTGTGTATATGCTCATATACATACATACATACATACATACATACATACAGACATACATATATAAGCATATATGGACATAAATATTTAGCAACAGAGTTTCAGAATGTTTTAGCGTTAAAGTAAATTTTTTATTAATTTTCAATTTTTCGTGGTCTCATTTCGTTGAGGTGAGCAGGAAGGCATACACTTATCGATACATACATACACGTATACATATATAATATATGTATTCATTCATATAACATGCAGTCGTTACACTGCTATTTCTAATTTCATGTTTATCAAAAATTGTAGTTATTAAGGCTCTTGGTCATGCAAAATGTATAATAAATATTATATATTAGACCAAGTAAAAAGTTCATTCGGTTTTTTTTATTGATTTTTCAAACTATGATCACTTTGATCCGATTTAAGTCAAATATGGAGCGTTTTTTTCGTAAACTTGTTGCCAACGAGATGCCAACTTCAATCCCTCTCGTAGAAGGCTGCGTCCCTATTGGCAAAATGCTCGGATAGCCAATTTTAACAGGCCTCTTTTGAGGCCAACTTCTCACTATTAAGCGCGTTCGCCATGGACAGGAAAATATGGTAATGACTTGGTGCCAGGTCTGGACTATGAGTTGGGCTCATTAAGACTTCCCATCCGAGCTCCTGGAGCTTCTGCCGCGTCACCAAAGACGTGTGTGACTTGGCGTTATCCTGATGGAACACAATTCGGCATCTTCTGGATGAGTGCTGCCTTCAAGCGGTCCATTTGTTGGCAGTAGAGGGTCGAGCGTTTGTCCACAGGCAAGCAGTTCATAGTAATTGATTCCTTGCCAATCCCACCAAACACACAGCAAAACTTTACTGGCCGTCAATTCCGTCTCGGCCACCGTCTGGATCGCTTCCGCAAGATTTGACCACGACCGTTTGCGCTCGATGTTGTCGTAAGTGACCAATTTTTCATCGTTAGTCATAATCCCTTCAGAAACGGGTCGATTTGGGAGCGATTCGCAAATGGAAACTCGGTCTATCATGTTTTTTTGCGTTAGTTCGTGTGGCACCCAAACATCGAGCGTCTTTTTGAATCCAAGGTTATGTAAATGGTTCCAAATGGTTTTCTGGCTTATCTTTAGTTCCTCAGCAATTAAATAAGTGCTCACGTGAATGTTTCCACTATTTTCATGATATTATAGCAATTTTCGACGACAGGACTCCCGACGCGTGATGTATCTTTGACATCGAAATTACCGGACATCGGAATGGAACCTAGCAAACCCTCGGGCCAACAAACTGAAGTAACTTTTTCAGCTGCTTTGGCTGCTTTTTCGCCTTGACCGAAGAAAACTTGTAAAATATAGCGAATTTTCTTTTTGCTGGTGTCCATCTTTGTCGAGCGCTCACAACGTACTGAGTCAATCAGTCGAAAAACTGTCTAAGACAAACTTTTAGCGCGAGCGCAGGTATAGTATGACATGATGCGACAAGTAACACTAGTACTATGGACAATAACGCCATCTCTTAGATAAAAACCGAACGAACTTTTTACTTGACCTAATATATATGTAAATTAAATTTTTTATTAATTTATATATGTAAGTGGGTCTCATCGAATTTTCTACAAATTGAAATTATAACAGAAAAAAAGAGCTGCAAAGCATAAAATAAATTTAATTTATCTAAAATTAAATTATCAAAGCTAAAGTCCACCCAATTTATTCTTATAAGAGCTAAAATATTTATGCGTTTAAAAAAGTTCAAAATTGTGAAACAAAAATTTAATTAGAAATTAGAATAGAGAATTTTTTTCTGCTTTAATTCAAGCTTAAATTGTATTGAAAGTTTTTTGACCCAAAAAAGCGTTTTTGAGCAGACAATTGGTGCGAGTGTTATACTAAGTTAAAGGCGTCCGATTTCGCCAATTCTCATTAACCATATTATTTATTTGTAATTTATACAGATTGTAAAATTTCATATTATGATCTTTCTATTTGCAGGAGTTATGGCCGAAAAACGCGTTTTTGAAAAGTCAGTTTGGATGAGCGCCATAAGTTCAAATCGTTCGATTTCGATTATTTTCGTTCCCTGCTTTAGGCACAGGCATTTTACACATTATGTTTTTGTTTTATAGGACTTCGGCCCGAAAGCGCATTTTATAAGAATTTTAATGTCCACTTTTTATGCGTGTTAAGTATACAAAATAATATATGTAATTTTCAGTTCTCTAGACGTTCTGAGCACGCAGAAAATAGTTTTTAAAAAGTTTCTGGAATTTACCGCAATTGGTTGAAGTTTTGACTCAGGAAGATCACTAACTAAACGGACAGTAGTATACTCCTGCAAATTCCGCGCTTAGCTTCTAGTTTGTTTCTCTTACTTTCTCGCTCTCTCTCTCTTTTGCCATGTGAGCCCTTTCATTGTACCGCCGATATTTTCACATCTACTCGCCGAAGTCTGTAATATGAGACCGAAATGTTGGCGTTTGAACGACATCCTCATCGCTCCTCGCTTCCCTGCAACGGCGCATTGCTTGCATCTTTGTTGGCGGCGGCGATCAACCACAGCGCAGTGCCGGCATCAGTACCATTTGCAGCAGCTGTCACTTCCATGTTGGCGAGTAGCGTAAGTCGCACCGTAATATTAGATGCATGTGTGCATGTACGAATACCACATACATACATATGTTTGTTCTGTACTCAAATAACGCACTGATCTATTGACATTTGCTATCCGCGTGCAGTTTAACTGTCATTAATCTGTATGCATGCATGTTTGCCATTGATGCGCTGTGCTACGGTGGTTTTGCAATTTTACGCTTGTCAAAGCAGCAAGTGTAAATAAAGTGATGCCGAAAGAATAAAGATATAGAATAAAACGAACGGTAAATACAATAAATATACATATATTGTGCTTTAAACATTTTCTCAAATACAAACATACAACGAACTTTTTTAAACTTTGTTGTAGTTTGCCTCTCTCTTGCCCGTTGTGTAATAAAATCAAACACATCGCCGCTATGGCATAATAATAGAATTCGTAAAAAATAGTTAAAGCCCCGCACGATTTTCACATTTGCCGCACGACTGTCACAGCTGCATTTTATGACTTCACCACAAATGACCGCTTTAGTAACAGATTCCACCGCCGCGTTTAACGCTACTCATCGCAGCGTTGCCCAGTAAGCAGCAGCACTGAGGCTGCTGAGTAGAATGCTACTCATTTTGGAATGTACAAACGCAGAGGTATTTGCCAAAACAAGCCGAAATCTAAGTAAGAGGCGTAGTATCGAAATTTCAGCTCATTCAAAATCGAAGATTTGCATCTCTTCTTACAGACCACATCAGAATGCTGGCAGCACATTGTCTTGAACATCTATTTGGCGCGAGTTTTACCTGATCAAGTAAAATTGATCTCCTCAATCATATTTTGTAATCAGTTTGTCATTTGGTTCTTAATTAGCCACGACTTCGATTTTGAGAGAAAAAATTATGTAGGATATTGGAACAGATTGCCAGCACACGAGGTAAAAGCAAGAAGAATCCGGACAGGGTAGAGTTTTGAAGAAGTTTTCTTCACAACTGTGGAGCTAAAACTAGCAGCAGGTAAATAAAGCCATACAAATCACCAGGCCCAGATAGAATACTAGAAGAGGGCTGAATATAATAGCCATGAAATGTCTTAATATACTTCAGAAGTCCGGAAAATACAATAACAGCGAGGCGTCCATAAAACACGCAGATTTGGCCTTTACTGAAGAAGCTCTGTTATTATCTAGGAGAAAGTAAACTCAGACAATCTGTCAGCGTACCGACCCTTTATACGTCTAACACAGCTAGAGAACTCTTAGAATGATTCCCTAACCCTAGACTATAGGCAGCTATAGCCACTGGAGGTGGCATCTCTCCAAAGCTATTTTATCTTATTTTCATTTATTTCATATTGGTTTAATTAATTTGGTTTTGTTTTATTTTTTAAATTTTCTTTATTTATTTCTTTTTGTTTTGTTTTAATTTTTCATTTTATTTTATTATTTTCTTTTGTATTATATTATTTTATTTTGGCTCATTACATTTAAAAGTATTTTAAATTTATTTTTCATTTTATATTTTTATTTAATTAATTTTATTTATTTTGTTTTATAATTTTTTATTTTAATTTTTTTTTTTTTTTTAATTTTTATTTCAATCAAATTTTTTAATTTACTTACTTTTTTTAACTTATTTTAATTATTTGATTTCTATTAATTTTTGCCATTTAATTTAATTATTATATACCATACTAGCAGACCCAGCGAGGTACGCGTCGCCTTAATTACTCGCCTTTATATTACATTAAGCGTGATAATAAAATATATTTAGATATTTCAAATCTGAATGTGAATTATTTGAATGAACTCCATTACTTAAATTAAAGTAAACAGTTTCAGATAAGTACCAGCGATCGATCCATCCTATGAACTTTTCCTGTAAACAAAAGTAATTTGCCTGCTAAACTAAACAAAAGGCTACCTACGTGTATGTATCAAATTTAAAGTAAATCGAACTATAAATTCAAATCGGTCGAATAGATCAGTCCCAGATCCTCCGCCCGGTGTGAAAAATTGATGTTATGCTATTCTCAGACCTACCGAATATGCTCATAAAAATTCATTAAAATCGGTCAAACGTTTCGGAGATTTTACAATATTTTTTGTTTTTGCGTTTAAGATATAAAATTATATTATTTATTTATTAATAATTTAATTTAGTTTAATTTACCTTTTTTCATTTACTACTATTTTCTATAATTTCATATAAATTACCTTTTATTCATTTAATTATTTTATATTATTATTTTTATTTAATTTTCAATTTTTTTTGTTTTATCTAATTGAATTTTTTTTTATTTTGTATTCAATTTAGTGTTGTTTAAACCTAAATGTTTGTTGGGTAGTTATTTAACCGACGAACAGCTTTAGCGAAAATTCGCACATCAAGCATTCAGTTAGTATCCATTACTTCAGCCAACCGCACAGTGCGCCCGCCTTTGTGTGTGTATCGTCGTACTTGTGTCAGTTGGTTTGTCCAAATGACAATCAACGTGTAATGACAATTTTCAGTCATTTTATTTGATTATGGCAAAAAAAAAAAAAAATAGCACAATCCGACAAACGTTAATTCAATCTGCCAGGCGGCGAGCTCGAGTCTCAACTCAACTAGTCAAGTCATTTCGTGGCAGCGTCGGCGCATATCAAAGCGTTTTTGCGCACTTCATCGTGCAAAATTCATTGATGCTGTGTTGTGGCTGGCCAACCAGCTAGACAGGCCGTGATGCGAACGCTCAAGTGTACACGCTGTTAGCTGTGACAGCGCGCCGATTAGATATGTACGCGCGGTACTTTTGTGCATTTCGCAGCTATCTCACGCTGACACTGAGCCAAGAAAACTTAGCTAACTGACAGTTCTTCCGGCCGACAGCACAAGTAGTCGCAAGCATGCTGTGTGTGTCCGTGTGTGTGTGTGCTTGAGTGTGTTGAAAAACTTTATAGCGGCAATTTTTAATTCGATTCAGCGTCAAGTGGCGATTTGTGATTTGCAATATTCAATTTGCAATTAGCATTTTAATATAATTTTGCAATTAAAAAACGTTAGTTGAGCACTTTTTTACTATTGCATTGAGTTGAGTGAGTGGCTTCCACCTGTCAGGAGGTGAATTTGCGTCGTTGTCATTTCCATGGCGGCGAAATGTGCTTTGTCGTTGAGGTGGTTTTTGTTTTTTGTTGCTCGTTGCCAACTAATGAGAGCGTAATTTAGCGCGACAGTAGTTGGGAATTCATAAATAGCTGAAATGGCATTGCGGCTCATTATAGAGAAACGTATTGATTATTGATTGAAATTAAACGAGAAATCAAAGATAATGTCATTAATGAAATCGGCTAAAATACAATATCATCATTCGAGATCAACGGTGGAAAACTTGTTGGTGAATATGCGCAACGAACTAAGCAATCAGCAAAATCAACTGCCAAAGCCAGTATGCATATAAACACATCTAGCTTAAGTCTAGCTTAAATTTACGAGCAATTAAATATACGCAGCGACAAAGCAGTAGTCAATAAAAATCTCATAAACACAATAATTTGAACCAAAAAAATCAAATCGAAATGGAATATCAAAGCGGCGGTGGCGGCATCAACTTTGCGTAGGTTGGCTTTGATTTGCAATTAGAAATTGTAAATTTCAAAATTAATTTCTTTTTTTTTATCGCTTTAGAGCTTTACGTTTTCGGTTTTGCGTTTCTCAAAATGGTCGTTTATCAATTTTGTTTTCGGCTTTTTTGTTGTTGTTGTTGTTGTAATAAGTTTGCGGCAATTTGCATAATTAAAACGATTTCAAAAGTATGATGAATTTTTGGATTTGAATTTTCATTTTATTTTAACAAATTTTTATTGAGTTACAGTGGAAAGAAAACGAAAATAAAAGTTAAAACAAAATATAATTTTTTATTAATGAATTAGAATTTAAGTTTAATTTATTTAATTTTCTCTGTTTTAATTTAGTTGAATTTTATTTTTTCTCATCTCACATTAATTTTTTATTAATTTAACTGATTTTGCTTTTATTTTATTTTGAATTATATGTTTTTTAGTTTTAGATCATTTATTAATTTTTTTTTTATAAATTAAATTTAATTTATCAATTTTTTTATTTATTTTTAACTTCTTAATTTTATACACTATGTTATTTTATTTTTATTTCGTTTGTTTTACTTTATTTAAATTTGAATTATATATTTGATTTAATTTTATTTTTTATTTTATTTGTGTTTTATTAATTTTTTTATTTCATTCTCTATATTATATTTTATTTCATTTAAATTTTTATTTTAATTTTAATTTCATTTATTTTATTTCTTTTTTTATATTTGTTGGCTTGTTTGCAATATAATTTAATAATTTTGTTTTATTCTATTTTAAGTAATTTTTTGTCTTCTTTTTAGTTTATTTAATTGTTATTTCATTTTAATTTTAATTTAAATTTATTTCAAGCTCTGTTATTTTATATTTTATTAATAATGCTTAATTTGTTACTCCTTTTTTATCCTGTTTAATTTTTATTTAAATTTTATTTTATTTTATTTATTCCCTCTATATTTTATAAGTTTTAATTTGCCTATCTTCTAATTCTTCTTTTGTTTCATTTTTTTTTATTTTATTTTTATTATGGTAGTATATTTTTTACCCTCTACTTTTATTTAATTTTTATTTTATTTTTGTTATGAAAGTATATTTTTTTACCGTCTACTTTTATTTTATTTTTAATTATATTTATTTTTATATAGTAAATTTTATTTTATTTATTTCGATTTTGTAATTTAATTTGTTTATCTGTTTTTTTATGAATTTTATTTTGATTTTCAAATATTTTATCAATATACGCGTAAAGCAGTATTGAAAGTACTGATTTTAAATTCAAATCATCTCGATTATGAATCACAAATGTGTTAATGACATCATGCGGCTGTGCCGTTGAGCTCCTCCTTTTGAGAAAAAAAAAAACAAAAACCAAAAAAAACGAGACTCTCTTTTGAAAAAACATGATTAGCTGGCATGACTCATTGGTCGAATAATTTATCAGATTTTTATCATTTATTCGTATTAATTATGTAAATTAAAGGCTTATGTACCCTTAAGTGTAGCAATTTTAAGGTTTGATCCGAGATAGGTGAGTAAAAAGGTAAAAAAAAACGTTTAATATAAGAGAAATATCACAGTTTCTTTTTTCAATGTGATCTCATTATCTGTTAGTTATTTTTTTTACTTTCGTTTTCCATTATCTTTATTTTTTTAAATCATTTTGATTTAATTTTTAATTAATTTATGTTATTCATTTTATTACATCTTAATTTATTTCACCTTCTTTTATTTTACTTTTAATTTATTTTATTTCACTTTCTTTTATTTTATTTATTTTTTTTTAATTTATTTTTATTTTAAATTATTTTATCTGATTTTATTAATTTATCTTTGGCTTAATTTTATTTTATTTAAATTTGTTTTTAATAATAATTTGACTTTTCAACCAGTCAAAATATTTAAAACTCCAAGAATGAATGAGAACAAAACCCACCGACAGCTGTGGCCCGAAGGGAGTGCCCTCCGAAGAAAAGACTACAAAATGTAAGCACTCGCTTAACTATGCAAGTAAATAATATTGTTGTTGTGGTTTAAGCCAACAAGTTGTATGCAACATTTACAAACGTCAATTGCACTTACGTCGGTGTATTAAATGCGGTTTGTGGCGCGCACAGCCACAGGCTGTGGCGGCTGTCAGTGTCGTTGCCATTCAATTGAACATCCAACCGCCAGCAAGCCAACGATCGGGCCATGGCAACATAGCGAGCTACTTACATTGACTGGAATCCCCTTTAAAGTTCAATAAAAAAAAGCGCGGAAGACTTGTTGTTGTTATTATTCTTGCTTTTGTTATTCACTCACCAAGCGCTATCAGGTTCTTTGGAGCTCATTGGTCCATTCCGCATTCGTTTATTTAATATCATTTGTTGATTTACTTTTTCTGCTTTGGTCGAATCGATTTTATATTTCTACCTAACCGATTGCAAGATTATCTTATTGTCGATTATTTATAGTTTATTGCTGGGCAAAGGCGAGCGAGCTCGCAACTAGTCGCACAGGGTGTGGAGGTAGGCGTAATTGTGAAGAAATTCGAAAGTTAAAATTTTTAGTTCGCTCGGAGATGACTTGGTTAAGAAGGAGTTAACGGTGCGCCAAGGCAGAGAGCGCTGTGAGAGAAGAGGAGTGTTTTGTTGATGACAAAAGTTATCCCAGAATGAACGATCAACAACAATTTACCACTGCCAACTTATTCCATCTTAGATTTGAACGCCTCATTCTCCGAACAAGTCAATATTTTGGGACATTGCTGACTCTGCTCAGCGTACAATGCTTAAATTCTTTTCGAAACATTCTCAACGGAGCACAAGCTTTAATATCGTCTTTGATTTATTGTAGCTTATTAGCACTAAAGTCTTGGCAGGGAACCTCAATCCTTCCGCGTGAATTTCTGATATGAAGTAAAAGTTCTCATAAAACCCAACAGCCAGCGGTTCGGATGCTGCTTAGCAAGAGCTATAGGGCTCTCTAATTGTTGACTCCTACCACAGCAACAAAGTTGGAGTTGGAGCCTTCAAATCTAATGGAGTATATGAGCTCTGGCAACCGAAATAGTGTTCTACTCGTTGTGATATAAGATGGGTTCTTCCAACAATTCGCACTAATCAATCTCGCCGTTCAATCCAAGTTTAGCCTGGCTTTTCAGCAAACTACTGCTTCACCCTGTATATACTGCGGAGTAACAAAGTTACACGAATTAAATAACATTTCATTGATTTGCGGCTTTGGTTTGTTTTTTTCTTCTTTCATTTTTTTGTTTTCCCATTCCACTTTTCAACATTTCAACTTCAACTTTTGACTATGCAACTTTTCAACATTCGCGCAACATTTCGGCTTTGAATGACAGCCAACAGGCCCAAGAGTCAGTGTGGATTGAGAAGGAGGAGAAAAGCAGAAGGGGAGACATGAAAAAGATGAGAAGGAGGAATACGAAGAAGAAGAAGAAGATAAATTTCAGTTTCGAAAGACACAGCTACCAGACTTATCGAATGACTGTCACTGTGGATGGTCGGTTATGGACTTGTCGCTAACTCGATTACTCTTTCTTCTTCTTAGCACAGCCTCCTTAGCTTCTTCAATGTCTGAATATTTATTATAACAGCAACAAAGTATGCATGTATAGATGTAACTCGTACCAGCTAAGCTTGTTGTAAGTACAATCTGTTTGGTCAGTATGTGTGTGCGTCCATGTTGACTGGCCTCAGTATTGGCACGCTGACAGTAAATGTCAATTAAATGTGGATATATGCGAACAAGCGAATTCTGCTGGGACATCAGTTGTCACAGTTGCAAATCGAACTGTTGATCTTTTGGCATCAAATGGAATTCGCAGAGACATGAAGGAGGCGGGAGATGGATACGTACACGGACGGTGTTGGACAGGTTGCTTTCATAGAAAAAAGGAGGTATGCGGCGGCTCAAAAAATAACAGAAAGCCGCAAGTCTCCCATTCAACTTCATTGAGTTTATGAAATTTTTCGGAAAATTTCGAAATTTAAATTCCTTTCATTCATTATCCTACACAATTTGTGTTCAAATATGTCTAATTTTGCAGCTTAACGTTTTGTTTCCATCCGCTACAAACACCTGCATTCGTTAGCCACGGGCCGACTCATTATCAGCGCCGGCTTCATAACGCCACAGTTTGCGCGCAGCGCGGCGAGTGAAGGGAAATAAAGATTCCTGCTTTATCATTCAAAAGACGTACTTGGAAATTCACGCGAAGGCGCGCAAGCTCAATTAACTTAATTGCCATGTAATTACGCTTGTGCACATTTACACATCGGTGCAACGGTGGCTGTGGCTACGGTTGCGACTCCGACTCTGTGTATGTGCTTGAAGGCGTGCATCAGCTGCTTGTCGAGAGTGGCGCGGTTTTTCGTTTTAGGTTTGCTTCTTCGTTGGGTTCTTCGCTTAATGAAGCGCCAGTAGCTGGGCTTTAATAGAAATTGAAAAAGAGCAACAAAAGTGTGTGGAAAACGAAAGACTTAAGCAACGAACTGGAAAAAACTACAGATGGAGACGAAGGTAGCCCAAAGTGTAAAATATGGCAGTAGCAGTCATCCGGTCAACGACAGCTGGAGCTCAACAAAGCTGTTTAGTGGAAACCAACCTTGTCCAAACAATGACAATGTATGGGAGAGTTTTGATCCTGGCGCTCGTAGAGTTGATTCCATACCCACATTTGCAGAAGCAGACAGTATGAGTGACAGAGACGCATATATTAGCGCTTTATCCGACATTAACGACGTTGAGGTACCTATAAGCGTGAGCTTAATAGCATAGTAATTTGGACCCATAATAATTTAGCCCCTCAGCCCGCCGTCGGAGCTTTCTAAAGTGAAAAATTAATCTAAATGACCATATTCATATCTTACGTCCAGTGGAGTAACTATTGCTGAAATGACGTCTCTAGGGAAGATAAAACCATAGAAACCTCCGTAGATCTGGTTACTTTGACAAGCTTTTTATAGGGTCACTATACAAATTAGCTAATTTCGTTTGTCAATAACTCTCACTGAAACAAAAGATCGCGCATATTTGGGGCTTAATTAGTGGCTTGGACAGGCGAGAAATAGAAGTTTGCTTTTCAGTATTTATTGTGTAAATGGTTTCGTCAACTTTCTATCTCACTGCTGGCTTCCTTCAACTTTAGCCAGAATAATTGCTTTCCAGGCCGAAAACGGAGAAGAAGCTGTCCCTATCACTTTCACAATTCCCCAACTCAAACCCTTTTTCGGCAATTATAAACTCAGTCGCTTTAATTCGCTGCCAGTAAGTAGCTATTGTCTGCGGGCTCGAGTTCATGTGTGTATTCTTCCTTGCCTTGTGTGGCATGTCTGCGCATTCCTTATGTAATGATGAGTTTCTTTTATTTGATTGAATTTCCGCTACGCTTTATACCCAACCGATGGCAGTGCAATTTTTTCTTGGGTCTTTCCGACTTTATATCCTTCTTTTTTTCATTACCTTTGCCAGCATTTTCAGTTGACATGCTGAGTTATTGTTGACTGAACGTCATAGCTTTTGCAATGCAACAGATAAACTCTACTTTTTGTGGTCTATGCCAATGGAGTGAGATGGGTAGAGAGGCGGCATACTCAGCACAGCCGCATCTCGCGAGTTCAAAGAATAACTTAAATACTTTTGTTTTCTTTGCGCTACCTGCCAATATTCGCCCTTTTGGCAACGCTTCAATGCTACATCCAGCCAAGTCGTATTGACTTTTTGTGCCTTTGCGCAGTTAAATTTTTCTGTTTTCTTTTCTGTTTTAGTTTTAGTTCCCCGCCACATTTTTGCTTGCGGTTCGTAGCTATTCGCCTGTTGGAAACATTCGTCAATTTGAGTTACGTTGGAATTCCTGCGCTGAAATGACGATCGGCAATCATTGTGAAGTACTGCCACGAAACCTGACGTCGACGGCGCGGCACAGTGTTTAGAGCACAGTAATTGGGATTTGGAAAACTATATGATGACCGTTACGACTTAAGCTGTCGCCAAATGGGTAAGAAGGCCGTTGGTTCTGTTAATTTTAATAATTTTTTAAATTCCTAATCTTATTTTACTTTAGTTTTTTAATTATTAAATTATTAATTAATTATCCCGAAGCATTTTTTCAGGTAAATTATTTTTATTGAATTTGTTTCTATTCTAATTAATTTAAATTATTCAGATGTGGAAATTCCATTTGGAAGAAAGCGTGAAAAGGTTTCCGCGCATGTAAAAGGATGCTAGGTGCAGGGAATCACCGATGGAGCTTATAACAACTTCACCGCCTGATGACGGAGTGAGCCTGGAATCTATTACGCGGAACTAGATTTCCGACAACCTTTCAAGCTTCCAGGCTGAAGTTAGAAAAGCTGCCGCTATAGCTAACTACTTATGAGACCAAGCTTAAAAAATAAAGTAATAATATAAACGTCCACAGTCAAGCGGCAATTAGGACATTAACCTCGCATCGTTTTGTTTCAAAAAATATTAGAAACGAAAATGCAGTACACGTGATAGCTGCAGAAAAGCATCTGCATATTTACAGGGTTCCAGGCCACAAGGCATTGTGAAAAACCAAAAATTATGATAATAACTCCAAAAACGTCATTCGTCTAGCTAAAGAAATACGTAGTTCGCTAATGGAAGGGTTTGAAAGATGGATGCGTGTGAAATGGAATGTCGAAATTGCATTTATGATCGACAAAAGTGTTCAAGTGCAAGAGCACCGAAGAATAACGTGCAGATTTTTTTTGCTTATGGCGTCTTGAAACGATTGCCGGGTCATTATGACACATGCAGGAAGCGCATCCTTCCTCTTCTTTTTCCTTTATTTCTCTTCGGCCTTATCTAGAACTGGACTTAGATATCTAGGACTATATGAAGATAAAAAATAGATATCCAGGCTGTACTAAACTTCACAAAAAGAGTTGACGTCCTGAATGACGACTGCTTCAGCTCGTACAAAATGGATCCTCCATCAGGCATTACAAAGGAAGTGTATGGTGTGAAAACCTTAATGTTGATTTCTTATATTTAATTTAAATTCAATTCCTTTGTTATTTGTTTTTATAAGTTCAATTTAATTTATTTTTTAATAATTTAATTGTATTTTTTATCAATTCATAATGTCTTATTTTATTTTTTTTTATTTAATTTGATTTAATTTATTTATAGAAAATTAAATAAATTTTAAATTAATAAACAATATTTAATTTTCTTTCAATTTTTTTTAGTCACTCTCCTGTTCACACATCCGCCACTAAAGTGTACCACTGTGCGTAATTTCCTAACTTCAAAAAAAAAAAAAAAAAAAAAATACTTGCACAATCGTCAACGTAAACGTCATCGTCAGCCTTTTGTTGTGCTCGTATTGTCAGTGGCATGCCATCATCAACTTAATCGTTGTGCTGTTTTTACCTTTTGATTGCTGCAACAACAAAACAGTCTAGAGTTACGAGAGTTACGGCAGCTGTATGTTGCAAACAAAAAATTGTATGGCATTAACTGGGGATTTGCTTGAGCGGCAGAAAAATTCCATTCATTCTATGCGTGTTTTTTCTGTTCTTTTTTCGAGTTACGTCCCTATTTTTGTTGTTTTTTTTTTTGACAAATATTTTATATTAATTTATATGAGTTGCGAGAAATTCGCAAACAATTAATTTTGGTGGTGAAAGTAAGTAATACGTTTGGCCTTTATAGTTTTCTTAAAAAAGTTTTTGAATCTCACTTTTGTGTAAACAAAAACAAAGAAGAAGATTTTATAATTATGGCTGGTTGACGGGTTTGCTTTCATGGCGAAATCTGCACTTATACATAAGTCTAAAATCTAAAAGCGGGAAGCATTTTTTATTGAGACGTCTCTAAACTATATTTTCTTTAAGCTCGTTGAGAATTACAGTGTTGCCTTTAGTAGTAGAAGAAAATGTGTGAAAGCAAGCCTTGAGCACTATAGTCGTCTCTTTTCCCCAACTCATGACCAATGTGTTGCCACAACAGCACTCGTTGGTAGAGCAGCTCAAATCAACTCTACGTTAAGTTCACTTGTAAGCAAATGCGGTTGTGCAAGAAGAATTACGAAAGTTCTCCAACCAAGTGTTTCTTGGCGAAACGTGATGGGAATATGCTTCGCCCAAATGCGAATGCCAGCATTCAGTGGTTTAGCGAGCAGTTAGTGGCTAAAGCCACGCATGTGGAAAAATAAACACGCAAAAAGCAGTAAAAAAAAATATTTTTTACTTGTAGAAAATGTAGCTGAAAAATCGCATATTTATACACACTTACATATGTACGTAGAAACTGGGTTAATATGCTGCCAAAGAAGCTAGTGTGATATGGAAACTTGAAGAATAGCTGCGTAGATTCGGTAACTTACTTCAGCTTAACCAAAGCATGTTTTAAATTTTGCTCAATGATGTTGGTAATTTTAGTCATGTGGCAAAGTTGCCAGGCTTTAATCTATTTATTGTTTATTAACGAATTGCCTGTTAAGTCAGGCTCCGTTGCTTCGATCCCTGCCAGAAGAACTCTCATGAGGAGATGTGGTGACCTCCGAAACAGCTGTCACTTCTACCATATTTCTATTCATGCAAACAAATAGGTCTTTAGCTCACTCAAGGCGAATTTACCGAAGGTGAAGTTATCATATCATGTGATTGCTTGTTCTTCCTTCCATTTCAAAAAAAATACACAAAAAAGAAAATACTTGAGAAATAGGTTTTGGCATTTCGAACGTTCGTTTCCACAAACAAAAGACATAGGCATTTTGTTTTTGTACTCTTGCTACTACCGCTATTGTGATTTTTTTTTATTTTTTTTTTTAAATAGAACAAATTTTTGATTTCGAAAACAATCTGCATATGTAAATATGTATAAGAAATGAATTTTCATCATACACTCAAAAATCCTAATTAAAATTTCAAACAGATTTATGTGATAATTCCCCACATAACCGCCTTACGCTGAGTAAGTATAAACTATTTCTCAAGTTGAGTGTTGGAGCTTGAAATGAGTTTCACTCGAAACTTATTAAGATAATTTTTTCGACGTTTATAATAAATTTCATGTTTTTCCCAACTCTTTTCTTGTCAATCGGCCACCCCCCTTTTCAGCGTTGCTGACTCTGCGTTTCTCGTTAGTTCAGTACACGATAACAGCTCATTACGACAGAGAGCGAACACGACATTATCTGTTCTAAGCTGCTGGCTTAACAGGCATTACGTTAACATGAAAAACTGACATGAGATGTGTGTGTATAGATAAATGTATGCATATACACGTACATACGTGTGTTATTGAACACTTTTATATTTAATTTTTTAATCAAATTTATTTAATGCTGTTTATGTGGATATGAAAACTATTATGATTCAAACAATTAAAATATTTGAAGTAGAAAATAAAAATAACATAAAAATTGAAATGTTGAAAATAACAAGTTGCACACCTCAAAGTAGATTCCTACAGTGTGGATTCAAAAGAAATTAAAGATGGAAAAAATAAAAAAAGAATTTATATATAAATAATAATAAAAAAATTGGGGACACAAAAGAAATTAATAATGAAAAAATAATAAGAAAAGAAGTTCACCACAAAACTAAAATTGTTTGCGCATTAAATAAAAATAACTGAAATATTAAAAAAAAAATCGCCCAAAATTTAGCAAATTCTGGAAATTTTATTAAAAATATTTTTTAGAAAATTACTATTTACTAATAAAATTGTATAATATTTTTAGTGATATTATTATTTACAATATATGTAATTTCCTTATTTACTATAATTGTCACAAGGGTGAATGCCTATACTGTGATAAAGACTAAAATCGGCGAAAAGAGATAAGGAGAATTTTACTTTAAATGCGGCTACTCGCCACTTGAGATTTAAATAAACATTGACACACTGATGTGTTCTTTTTTATTTATTTTTTCCTTATTTCATTACCATCTGTACTAAATATTTATTTAATTGAAAAGCGCTTGTCTTATCTCTAACCGGCGCTAATGCCAATATCATTTAGCGTTTGCCGCCATCACGGCTGGGCAGGATTAATTGCGGATAAAATTGTTGGCTGATAAGAGTTTTTATTTTACTTTTGCTTTCTCATGTGTTCGTAAATTTATTGTTTGGCTGACTTGACGACGACGGAGTTCAGTAATTTTTATTTATAAACAAAAAATAAGAAAGTGAACAAAATAAAGATAATAACAAATACAATGTTAATATTAAATTTAAAACAAGCTTAACAAAAATAGATTAATAAATAAATAAAATAAAATATTTAATATATGGAAATGAGGAAACCATCATTATCTTTGTTTCCTGTAACTGAAGTAACAAAAATTAAACAAATATAAAAAAATAATTAGCTAGAATAAAATAAATCAAGAGAATAATTTATTTTATTATTTAACTAAAATAAAAAAAAAAAATAAAAACTATAAAAAGTTAATATAAATGCAAAAAAAATTAAACAAAAGCAATTTAATGGATATCGAAATAGAAATAAATGAAGATAAAACAAAATGGTTATTAGTAAAATAAAATAAGAGCAAAATAAATTTAAAATTAATAACATAATACTAAATTAAGTAAAATAACGTAAATTTATAATAAAATAAATAATAAAAAATCAATGCAAAATTAAATTAAATTAAATTAATTCAAAATAAAGTAAAATGAAATTAAATAAATTAGAACGCAATAAATATAATTAAAATAAATTGAAGTTAAAATGAAAATATTGAAATAAATAAAAAGAATAATTTAAAATTATTATAAGTAATTATTATTTAACAAAGAAGAAAAATAAAATAAAGTCATATACGTAGTACAGAGTTAAGAGAGTTAATTGAATTAAAATAAAAATATTATAAAGCAAAGGAAAATTTTGAAAAACTTGAAAAACAAATAATATGTGCTTCAAGAAGCATAATAAAATAGAATAATATGAATGAAAATGAAATCCGTAATAATAAGAATAAAATAATGTAAAATATTTTAAAAATTGAAATAAGTTAAAATAAATTAATCAAAATTAAATAAAAAAATATAATAAAATAAAATAAAATTAAAAAAACTAAAAATTATTGAGTAAAATAATAAAATTTAAGCAACCAAATAAATAAAATAATATAATAAGAAACAAAAAATAAATAAAAACAAAAAAATAAAAATGGCAATAATTAAATAATTAAAAAAAAATTAATTCGAATTCATTGAAATGAAGTAAAAATTAAATAAGATAAAATAAAATTATGTAACGATTAAAACAAATGAATCAAAAAGGGTTTAATTAATAACAGCAGAATAAAATAAAGGCAATTTGAAAAATAAAATAAATTACAATAAAGTGTAAAGAATTAAATTAATGCAATATAAAATTATTTAAATATTATAAAAATGAAATGATAATTTTATTATAAATGAAACAAAGTGAGACAGAAATATTGAAAAAGTGTGAATTAAATAAATGAAAAAAAATAAATCATAATAATGTAAAATAAATAGGAAATTATTGAAATAAAATAAAGTAGAAATTAAATTATAAAAATAAAATAAATTAAGTTGTAAAAATTAAATAAATTATATTAAAAAAAATATTTATACACCGTTATTTGGAAACAAAAGAAAAATGATTTCCTTTTAATTATGCATTCTATTTCCCATTCACCCCTTCCTGCTGTGTGTGGGCTCCGCCATTTCTACAACTCTTTCGAATCACAGACATTACGCCTTTTATGACAATTTATGTAAACATGTGCACATTTCCGGTTCGGTTTAATAGTCGGTTTAATTTTTTCTTAGCATTTTGTAAACATAATAATAAAATATCTAATTTTTTTTTTTTTTAAAGGCGTTTTCAATAATTTTAACAACTTAATGGCATTTTTGTCGCCGCGTAAGAAATCCAAAAACAATTTTCAGACGAGCCGCTAAAAGTCGCAACATACGTATATATGTACAAGTGTATGTATGTATGTATATATGTATGCATGTACTTCCATAAAAGAAATCCGATTTTGATTTATCTATACCGCAATAATATTTGGCGCCCATAAAAAATAT